TATCACTCTGTATTAAGCGCCCCAAACACTTACACATAAACTTGCCAGATGAAGAGAAACTAGGCCTATTACATCATAGGTAAGGAGCACACACTTCAAAAGACCATTTCATGCATGTTCTGAACACTGGCAAGCACCTGTGAACAAGCTGGGGCTTATTCTGGAACATGGATAGATAACTTGTGTGAACCCATGCAATAGTAGTCTTTGTAGTTGCTCTTCTGGATACAGCCAGCTTTTAGGAAGGAGAGGAAGTAAATGCATGGGTTTCTGAGGACTTTTTCTTTGTTACAGTTTATACAAAGGTCCTCCCCCCCCCCCATGGCGTGTTTATGTATGATATGGTCCTGTGGCAGGTCAAAGGATGACCCTGGGCAAAGGATGACCAAGGTCTCGCCCTGACCTTGCATTTTGGCTTGGCCAGCAGACAGTAAACCTCAGGATTCTTCTCCACTCCTCCCACCACCCATTATCAGAGTGACAGACACACATAGCCACACCTCTTTTCTTCCTGAAGACGTTGGAGCTCTGAATTCAGGCCCATTCTTACCCTTTGAGCCAGTTCCTCAGCACCCACGCTCCGACTCCTGCCAGACTCTTAAAACGCATTACTGTTTATACATATTTATCTCAAGGGTTAAAACATTAAAGAGGAGTTGGCATATTACATTCTATTATACATTTTGTTTCATATGATTTGCATAGTGTATAGATAAGGACTGTTTTAAGCTATAATGAAATTTTCTTGTAATCAAGTTTTTTGGTATGAGAAAGGTTTTTTTCTTCACTGTGCTTCTAGAAGTTTTTAGTATATTCCATGCTGCTTAACAGTGGGGTCAAAGTACTGGTACAAATGTCAGTTCCTGTCTGGATAACTTCACAGAGCACGTAACTTGCCTTCAAGGTGACCATCCTACACAGTGGCTCTCTCTAATTATTATGCCACACCGATGAACCCGCTGACGTACCATTTTCAAATTTTCATGTTTTTATTATAATGTGTATGCATGCGCCTGCATGTGCATATTTGCATGAGTGTTAGCATGGGTGTACGCACCTGTGCGTTTGGGTGTCATGGAGGCCAGAGGAGGGCGTTGGATCCTTGTGGCAGGAGTTACAGGGACCTGAGAGCTCATCCCCCTGCGCACCTTTTTCTGGTTTGACTTCTCAGTGGAAAGCAGTGAGAACAGAGACTGGGTGATCATGAGCAGAGGAGGGACCCTGAATCATTTCAAGGCTCTCCACAGAATCACAACAGCTTGGATGTGGTGTTCTTGTCCCCATCCTTGCAAGAACTGACCATTTTCAATTATGCTTCAATTGCCAGAACTTCCAAGACTTAGGGCAATTTGAATGCTTGATATTTTCTTTCATACTTAAAACCAACCCCCCCCCCCCGGCCCTGCTATGGTACCACTGTCCTGCTCACAACACTTGAAACTCACTTTAAGAGATACAGCTTTTGATATTTGAGTTTCCCAAGGCATCTGGCCCATATTTAACATTTATGTCCAGCTCCCGCAGCATGGTTTTGTTGCTTGAGCTTGGCGGGATGCCCTTGCAGAGAGACTTTCCTTTAATGAACACGATGACTCCACGGAAACTGCTGGAGTCCACTGCTCCTCACCACTGTGCAACAGCACAGACAAGGTCAGCTTGGGTCCCAATGGAACAGGACATGGCTGGGCCTCAGACCACGGGGAGAGGTGCTGCTCTGACACTTCACTCGCCACCCTTACACCGTCTGTAGAAGTGTTTATGTACTATGAAATGCTCAGCCAGAGCATACAGGAAACTGTAAAAGGTTTTATGAGACGTATACACGGTTGATGGGAAAACTTAAAATGCAACCTGGGCAGGCTCTATCTGAGGTCCAGGAGGGCAGATGAGAGCACACACTTTCTGTAGAGATTTCCTTCACACAAGGGGCTATACGAGCCTGAAAGCAATTTTGGAGTTACACTGAAAAAGTTTCAAAAGTTGAACTTTACAATCTGTAGGCAAATAAAATTGTTTTCTTTCAGATCGCAGACCACCAGTTATGTTTACTTATCTTCTATGTGGTAAAACATTGAATGTGGGTTGTTTATTATTTCTTAAAAACAAAAAACAGATGGCGACACAGGAACTATATACACTGTTTGAAAAATTTGCACCTCTGATGGTTTTAAATAAAAACCTTGGCCCCTAAAACTGGAACATTATTTTTGAAAGTCAACTTTTCTCATGTGTGAAGGCAGAAAAGGTCAAGGACATAGCCTCTAAAGGACAGTTCCAGAAGGTCACGCTTCTAAACTCAGGTGTAGGACGACTATTTTTGTTTCCTTTACCCTTAGTCTAGGGGGCAGCATCAACTTCCCAGAAGAAAAGTCCTTTATTAGTCGTGGGTTTATTTATTTTCCAGTTTGGTCTCTGAAATACAAGGGATTAACAACAACAATAATAAAAACCCACCCAGAAGTTGTGTACTCATACATGGTTAGAGTTGAGCCCCATGGACATTCATATGTATACAAAGTGTCATTTACTAGCATAGTCACTTAAGAATTCAATACTATGACTTCACATTTATGTTGGAGGGTGTATCTACAATTAGTATCGTTGAGAAATAAATTTACTTTATTGTGTGGGATAAATATGAGAAGGCTAATGTGTCTTTGTAATATCGAATGGAAATACAGGGTGGCAAAGTGTGCATTGGGCCGAGAGTGAGGGGCCATAGGTTATCATGCATGGTCTCTTCCCGCCATTGCTGAGTCACTTTCCCCGGCTAGGCCAAGTTCTTTTTCATCTGTCAAGTGTGTGACAGTTCCCAAAAATCCTCATAGTTGTCTTCTGTAACTATGATAATATGTCACACTTTAATCTTACGGGGCATTTTATTGAGGCGTCATTTCTGAGATTTCCCTTCTGTTGAATTTTATCTATATAACTGTTCAGAAAATGTTGTTTTATTTCAAATTTAGTCTTATTATAAGGGTAAGGGAAAGAAAAAAAAAAGAATTTGAAAGTTAACATTGAGCAATTATGGGCACATCTAGGCTGGCTCGGGACAGACACAAACCTTGTTTTATTCTAAATTCAGCTTTCTGGCTTATGATGAAAAGTGAAAGGTATTATGTGAACTCACTGGGCAAAACCAGATTTTATAAATAATTACCTGTCAGACGGTTCAAGATAGACAAACATACACCAGACCAACAAAAACACAGAGCTGTCGTGTTTCTGAGAGAAATGTACATTGAGTCTTCCTTCCCTGGGACTACAAGGGGATTGGGTAGAAGAGGGGGAAGGGAAACAAAGCCTCACATTTTCTGCCCTGTGCTACTTTCAAACATATAACGTGGGACGGAGATGGTTTCAATAGGAAAAAGTAGCCCCTGAAAATTTCAGATCTTCTACAAGCCTGGCAGATGGAAACCAAATACAGCAAAAGCTACCATTTCCAAAGTATGTTTACTGCAGGGTTATAATTTTCTATGATTAGGGATGCCAAGGAAAATAAGAATGATGATAAAAAGAAAAGTTTAATCATACTTTTGAATGGGCATGGGGGGAACATCAAAACCCTTTGGCAATTGTTGATATTAAATATCTAGTTTTTTCTAACATGTACATTTTCCTCCCACCCCGAGAATGGTTACTACTCATCAGGTAAATGGCAGTGGTGAACATGGGCACAAGCATGTTGCGACTCAGTAGTATTTGTTCACACAGAAAACGTCTGCTCTTCTTATTTCTCTCTTTTACCCGAAACTCCTACAGAATTAAAGACATAACTTCCTCCTTTGCAATTCATATTTAATCAGGAACTGTACCATTGCATCTGCTGTATTTGGGGTTGTTCCCAAGACTTACATTTACTCATTTACTAGGGACAGTGCAGACACCAGAAGAGCAGCTCAGATGCTCCCAGCAGGAAGGGTAGCAACTTGCCAACCAGTTTCAGACAGGGAGAGCTCTCATGGGGATTTGGGAATTCTAGAATCCTTGTGTTCTTGTTTTTGAGTGCTTCTGAAGGGCATGGAAGCTGTGTGTGTGTGTGTGTGTGTGTGTGTGTGTGAGTGTGCACATGTGTGTATGTGTGTGTGAGTGTGTGTGAGAGAGTGTGTATGTGTATGTGTGTGTATGTGTGTGTGTGTGTGAGAGTGAGTGTGTGTGAGAGTGAGTGTGTGTGAGAGTGAGTGTGTATGTGTGTGTGAGAGAGTGAGAGCGTGTGTATATATGTGTGTGTGTGAATGAATGACTGTGTGTATGAGTGAGTGTGTGTGACAGAGTGTGTATGTGTATGTGTGTGTGTGAGTGTGTGTATGTATGTGAGTGTGTGAGAGTGTGTGTATATATATGTATGTGTGTGAATGAGTGTATATGTGTGTATGTGTGTGAGTGAGTGTGAGTGTGTGTGTATGTGAGTATGTATGTGATGTGTGTGAGTGTGTGTGTGTGTGTGTGTGGTGGTACTGGTGGCTGCGGGAGGCTCAGCTGGAAAGATGGGGAAGTGAAGCTGGATGAAGCAAGTTCCGTGGAGTGGGTGGGGCGATGGAGAAGAGGGGAACAGGTGGCTTGTCCTGCCAGGTGAATCTTCGATGGGTCTATGTTTATAAAATGACCACGCCTCTAAAATACACCCAGAGACTATCAACAATGCTGGAAAGCCAATGGAAGACTGACTCATTTTGTCTCTTTTGTCCCAAATCTGAATCACAAAAATGCATCATATAAAAGGCAGACTAAACACTGGAGGCAAAAAAGCACAACGCTGCTTTTAAGATTTATGAGCCGAGGGCAGCAAATCCTTGCCAAATTCAAAATTCAAAACTGTGTGATGTGCATTCTTGTCCACCTACACCGTCCCCAACATCCTGCCATTAATTAGGCAAACGGCCCATCCAGTAAACAAAGCTAAGGAGGCTGGGGAAGAGCTGGAGTCAGAGTTGAGAGTCAAAACAAACCAGGCCACTCTGTAGAGCAGGAGAAGGTAAACTCATAGTTTATTTTCAGCCAGGACATTGAAGAATGACCTCCGTGTACCATTTTCTCTCGTGTTGTAGCAGGCATGGCCATGGTCCCCTCAGCAGGCTAGGAAAGCCATCCCATTCCGTCGGTAGGCACTCTGTCGAAGACAAAGGAATCTGCGATGAATTATCACATCAAGTTGAACAAGGAGAGGATGCAGAGGCTTTCTTCCTGTTTTTTAGACTGCTGGCTGCAAGCTAATAGGATGCTTAATATGAATAGTTCCGGTGGCACAACTCTAGCAACCATTCTGTCTATTAAGTCAGTGTGGTTAACAAGTGGTTAGGGAGTCTATTTTGGGGAAGTGGGTGATATGCAAAATAAGGCATCCCATTTTGTCCTGTTAATGGATTGCTGTTGGCTCAGCCAAGGAAGGGCTGTGCTGGGTCTGTTTGTCTTTTGGAAACATGTGTTCTCTATTCCACATGCTCCACAGTCAGCTCTAACTAAGCATTGTAATAGCCTATAAATTACTGACTCACTACTGTCTTCCCAGGCCTAGTTTACAGTCTGGAGGGGAAGGCTGTGGGAAAGGACACCAGTGGAGGCCTTGGTCCTCTCCACAGTGTGGCGATCTGAAGGCATACTGCACATTGCTGGCAGTATGGAAAACGCTGGGCTTATCTGTAGATGCACATGGAGGTAGACATACAGACGCCCATGGCAGGACAAACCATCACTTTCAAAACCACACATTGGTGATGGGAGATGCCATTATGTATATATGTTTCTCATACTGGTTAATAATAAAGCACTGTTGGCCAATAGGAAAGGAAGATAGGAGGGACTAGGAGACAAGGAGGAAGAGGAAGGAGTAAGGAGGAGCCAAGATGGAGAGTCTGGAGAGAGCAGTATGCGGCAGCCGGCTCCGGGTAAGAAGACCACATGGAAATACATAGATTAACACAAATGGGTTAATACTTAAGACAGAGCTAGCCGATAAGAAAGTAGTAACTGGCCAATAGTATAATATCAAATACAGAGTCTCTGTGTGTTATTTGGGGCTGGCGCGGCAGCGGGACAAGACCAGCGGTGGCAGGCGGAGAAAAACCATACTCTTTACACATTGGTGTCAATAACACAATGTCTTCCAGGTAAGGGAAGTATCACTGGGCCTTTCATCTCCTGCTGAGGAGTCTGCACTTTGGCATGGGAAGAGCAGGCCAACGGTAACCTCCCATGACTTCTGGAATCTTACTTTGTGCTGGAGTATAGCTAAGAGTCAGGACAGAGAACGAGAGCCCCTTGCTGGCATGTACCACATCTGTAACATAACTGGCAACAGTCACATTCGTAACTTGAAGTTTTTGATAATGTGTTTTTAGAAAAAGGGACACATGACCAAAACCTCATATTAGGGCCTCTTGCCCCTCTGAAGCCAGCAACTCTGGGGCTAGCCTGGAGTCTCTGCACTTTCAGCCCGGCAGCTTTACTGTCAGCAGTCATCTTGTAGGAAATTATCACAGAGCCAGGCAGCCGTGACGGCTGAATAGAAATCCTTAGCTGTGCCACCTAAGAGCCAAGATGAGGGCAAAACTCTGAAAATCAGAGAGGAGCTAGAGAAAAGAAGAAAGCAATGTGTACTTCAACCCCTCCAGGGTGAGAACAGGGAAGTGGGAAGAACCAGAAACTCCTGGAACAGCAGCCTGGCCAAGACCTGCTCTGACCCAAGGATGGAACTCCCGGACACCCCCCTCCCCTCCCCAAGCAGCATATATTGCTAGATGCCGTTATTCCTGAGGGGCCAGAGCCAATCCCCAGACATCATAAGAGGACTTGGGCTATTGTATCCTTTACTGCGTGGAAGATAGTCCTTTCAGTGTCCTGTAGCTTCAGGACCACAGACTGTGGCAGTCACAAGTCTGATCCATGCGTGCTTGCCTCGTGGCACCCTGTAAAGGTCTTCCTTTCCATCCACAGCATTGGGACTCCAGAGTCTTGGGATCTAGGAAGGTTCTAGCTCATTGTACAGCTCCAGGAATGCAGCTTCCCGCAGCCCAACCTCCAGCACCTCTGTGTACACCCAGATGGAACTAGGGCAGGTTGATCTTCCAACCCACAGCCTGTCCCTGCCACTGGCAGGTCACAACCATATCTTGCAGATACAGAGCTGTGGCTATCTATCGATGTTTCAAATCTTGTCCCAAGCTGAGCTTTTCTTCTTCATGTCTTGTGCTCTTCTAGGGTAGACACCAAAGCCACATATCTCAGACTACTGTGCTCATCCCATGGGGTCTAGTGAAAGTCTCTTACATGTCTTATGTCTCCAGATGTGTGGATATATGCGTCATGTATCCAAGCCCAAATGGTACCTGCATAGGTCTGTCTTGGGAGACCTAGGGGTCCACAGTCCATAGTTGGTGACAAAAACCATGATGATATTATGTACATGGCCCCAAAGTATGTACATAAATCTGAAAACCAACTTAGGATACTAACAAGAAATTCACCAAAGGCATAGGAGTTATAAAGGAGAACTACCTGGAAAGTTTGGAGCTAAAACTAGATTAATGAAATTAAAGATAAAGCAGAGAAGTTTCATAAAAGAATAAAGAGAAGAAAGAATTCCTGAACTCTAGAATTGACCTAGCCAGCTCAACAAAACAAATCAGATGAAGAAAGCCCACAAAACTTAGAACACATTTATGTGAACAAGTATTTATATTATTGGAATTTCACAAAGTGAAGAACATAGAGAAATATGAAAACCCATCACTAAATAATAGCCAAAAAGACCCAAATCTTCAAAGAGATATGGTCATCCAAATATAAGAAACCCAAAAGACCCTGATTGTACTTAAAGAAAATAGATTTTCAATTAAAAGTTGTAATATAATGCTAAAAGTATATGAGCAGGTGAAACCTGAAATCAGCAAGAGGAAAGCATCAAGCCACTGAAAAGGGAAAGCTCATTACACTTATAGCAGGTCATTCAATAGAAGAGGGTAGGGTGGTATATGTAAATACAGAGAGAAAAAAGAAAAACCCTGCCCACTAAGAATATTATACCCAATGAAATTATCCTTCAGAAATGAAGAGGAAACAAAATGTTCCTCAGAGAAGCAGGCACTGAAGGGAACCAGCATCATCAGATAAGCCTTACAAGACACACTTAGGGAAGCCATCCATGAAAAACAAAAGTGTGATAACTACCAGCAGGAAACCACCAATAACCCAGGCTGGGAAGATGGCTCAGTGATTAAGAGTGATTTGCTCTTTCAAGGGATCTGAGTTCAGTTCCCAGAACCCACACAGGGCAGCTCACAAACACCTGAGACTCCAGCTCAAGGAGATCAGACGCCTTCCTCTGGCCTCCAAGGGCACTGCATGTACATAGTGCACATATTTACACTTGGGCACTCACACAGACATAAAATCAATAAATGAATTTTTAAAACAAAAGCAACAACTAAAAAAAACCCCACAACTATTAGAAAACAGTAATAGAACATAGAACCAAATCACACAAATAACTAGAAAGATGTTAGAAAAGAACAATTTACAATAAACTGCCCCAAATCCAGAATACAACTGAATAAAATAAAATGATAATAATAGTCATGATAGTAAGTGGGTTAAATTCATCAACCAAAAGGCAGGGAATAGCGGAATGGGCCAAAAATACAAGAATCAACTATCCACTGCCTACGGGAAGTTCACTTCCCCAGTCAAGATTAAGGACTAGAAAGAGATAGACAACACATGAAACAACCAGTTAGCAAGAGTCGCTATACCATTAGAACGAAGCAGACTTTAAATTAAAACAAACAAATGAACAAACAAAACGCTATACCATTAGAACGAAGCAGACTTTAAATTAAAACAAACAAAAGGACAAACAAAAAACAACTGCCAAAACTCACAGAAGCTCCTTATATATTAGGGAAAGGATAGATCCAGCCAGAAGGCACAAGATGTCTATATGTCCCCACCCTGGCATCCCTTTACATTAGCCACAGAGGAAGAGATAGACTCTAACACAATCCTTTTTGGTGACTTCACCTCTCCACTTTTGTCAATGGGCAATGATGCAAGTTTTAAAATCTTAAAACATTGTTATTTTATGAGTATGAAAGTTTTGCCTGTGTGCATGTAAGTGCCTTCTGTCCTCCGAGTCGAGAAGGTGTCACACTCCCTGGGACTGGAGTTACAGGTTATGAGCTGCCATGTGGGTGTTAAGAACTTGGCCCAAGGTTCTCTGCAAAGTCACAAAGCGCTCTTAGCCACTGAGCTGTCTCTTCAGATCCTCAACAAGCAAACATCTTAGCTGAATCATACTGTAAAGTAAATGGACTTCACAGACATCTACAGAACATTTTCCTGAGGCAGAATTCACATTCTTTTCATCAACATTTGGAAACCTCCAGGACAAATCATCTGTTATGCCAGAAATGAAGTCATAATAAACTTCAAAAACCTGAAATCATATTATCTGCTTAGATTACAAGACATCAGTGCTATGAATCACCAAGAAAAAAGTGAAGTATACAGTAGATGTTAACCAGTGAGTGTACTCAAAGAGCTGGAAGGGAAATGAGCATTTCTGAAGCAAGTGAAAATGACAACACACCAAACATGAGGATTGTAACAGATCAGGAAAGTCACCAACAATAGAGACGCCTCACACATGGACCCCAATGGTTCAGGATGCAGAGAAGCAAGCACATGCTAACTCCAAAAGTGGGAGGAAGGAAGACAGATCAGAGTAGAACTGAGACAAAATGTTTATGGAGAAGAATATTGCTACCCAGAGTGATGTACAGACTGCTCTTAAGTCACACTGTTCAACAACTTTCTTACTAGAAATGGGAAAAATCATTCTAAGTTTCGTTCCTTCTTTTCACTGTGAGCTCCTTTAACCCCGTCTGTGCTGGAGGCAGAAGAGTTTTGGATTGACACAAACACTGAGCAGACTCGGACATTCTGAGTCTGCTTCCCAAGACTGCTGGAGAGCACACTCAAACTACCTGGGAAGCCACCCAGAGCTTGCAGGACAGAAGGCATTTTCTTATAATATAGGCCAGGGGCTTAGCCTCAACAGAGCCCTCGGCAATGGTGCCTCTAAGAGGCTTATGGGAGAGAGTGATGTTTTCAGCT